AAATCAACCCTCATTCAACAATCAGCTCTAAGTATAGGTCACTACAATTTGTGTCTTGTTTGAAGAAGGCTCTGTGAGGTATCCTGGCATCGGTCGAAAGCTGATGCCCCGACAGGGATGTCTTGAAGGTTAAGGTTAGAGTGGACACTGGATATTCCTTTGGGACCTCCAGTACTGGAACCCCCTATCCTGCATTTAGTGAATTCCCTCAGATTATGAATCTGAGATATAGGGCCTGTCATCCTCTGCAAAAGGTGGAAGTGCTAAACATTTCCTTTCTCATGTTTGTTGCCAGAGCATTAGCATGCGGACTGGGCTCTGCCAGTCATACATACCTGCCTGAGAGCGAGCTAGACAAACTGGTTTCAGGAAGACCAATTCCGGGAAAAGCAGTGACTGCAAGGGTGGTGATCAGTCCATATTCGTTGCTAGTGGTACCATTGGCACAGGCTACGTGTCTAGACCTTCACAGCCACAGTTTATCAACAGACCAGTTCTGCAACTTCAGAATATGATTCTTCTCTTCAGTCTTCCCCTTGATTCTATGAGCTAGTTAATATCTTTTTAATATTTTTTTCTGCTTAAAACAGCCAGGTTTGTTTTTTGTTAGTTAGAAATCGTAATGGATACACACACATACATATATATATATATATATATACACACGTATATGACAAATCCTCCTACTTGGGTAGGGTTTTTGCCAGCAACAGTTGCAGTTTAAGAAACACACTCTGCATTAACAGTGTATGGCATTAAGTGGTATGTGGACTCACTGATGCTATCATGCACTCTACTTGTATTAATCAAGTTTCTCCAGATGTGTGTGTGTGTATATGACAAATTGGCTGAGAAGTCCCACAATCTGCTCTCAATAAGCTGGAGACTCAGGAAACCTCCCTGGTGATGTAATTTAGTGCAAGTCCAAAGGCCTGAGAACCAGGGTCCAAGGGCCGGAGAAGACAAGATGTCCCAACTCAGGCAGGTAAAAAGCAAAATGGATGAATTCCTTCTCCCTCCACCTTTTGTTCTATTCAGGTCCTCATGGTACTTGAGGCTTACTCACACTGGGGAAGGCAACCTACTGAACATAACTTTTTCCTTGGTTGTACTTTTAAATTCCCTCTTCAATTTATTTTAACATGAAACATAATTAAATTATATTTGATAGCTGATAACAATGTCTCTGATCTTTAGGGGTATGATTCTGTAGTTGGTCACTTCTACTTGTGGGATTTGTTTTCTTGCGTGGTTAGAGACTTAAAAAAAACCTTGTGAGTCATGACTTGGCGGGAAATCTTTGTGGTCTGGGGTGAATGTCATTCTTCAAGAAAGAGTTTGGGTTTGCTTCTTCCAGGTGCCCGTAGGTCCTAACAATCCAGAAACACTTTAAATTTCATCTTGGAGTTGAAACAGGTAAGCTGACTATGTCTCTAAGTAAATACATGTGAATGGAGGTGTGGGGTGCCGAATTCTCGGGAGAGACCTTTTTTTGTTTGTTTATTTTTTACTTTACTTTGATCCAAGGCTAAGATAAGACAGGCCCACACCCCCACTGTCCTCCTAGTTTGGCAGGTTTTTTTTTTTCTTTTTCTTCTTCTTTTTTAGTTTGTCAACTGATCACTGAGGCTATTAGTGGTTTGGGGCTTGGCAAGGCTAAGGCTTGATCTCTGATTTTACTTTCTACTCTTTTCAGGTTCAGGGTCCCTCACCTCCCGTGGCTCATGAAAACACAGGTATTAGGTCACTAGGAATCCATATATACCCCCAGGGCAAGGAGGCTTCTCACAATTGTTTACTTTTTTTCCCTCCTACAGATTCCTTACAAGCCAGCCAAGGTCAGACAAGCACCAGGCCTCTCTCACTCCCCAAACTGGGGACCTGGCCTGCAACCCAGGCATGTGCCCTGACTGGGAATGGAACCAGAGACCTTTCTGTCTGCAGGGTGGCGCTCAATTCAATTAACCACACCAGCCAGAAGTACTTCTAATTGACATGTTTAGAAACATGCTTTTAAAAGATTTTATTTATTTTTTCTTTTTTAGAGGAGGAGAAGGGAAGGAGAAAGAGAGGGAGAGAAACATCAATGTGTGAGATTTACATCAATCGGTTGCCTCTCACACACCCCAACTGGGGACCCGGCCTGAAATCCAGGCATGTGCCCAGACTGGAAATCAAACTGGTGACCTTTGAGGGCGCTCTGTGCACTGAGCCACACCAGTCAAGGCTGTTTCATACTTTGTGTTGGATTGTGGGGATAATTGCATGGATACAAAGATGAAACAGAGAAGGTTACTGCTCTGGAAGAACTCATAATATCAGGGAGTGCCCTTTTGTAGGGTAAGAAGAAGACACACACAAAAAATGTAAATACATTGTGTAAGTGTGAGGATGTGTGTGAAATAATGGAAAGTATATATTGGTCTCTGCCTCCAGTTCCTGGCACAGAGCTCCTAAACCTCTTGTAATTTCTCAAGTAGAAAGAGCAGTAGGAGCATCTTATGTTCTAACCAGGCAACTCAGGGTGGGTTGATCCATACATACCAGTCGAAGGCCCGAGGTGGGGTGGGTAGGAGCTGTTCTCAGAGAAACAGGGATGTGTGCTGGGCTGAAAGGACACCCGGCTCCTGGATGGGCACTGAACAGCAGAAAGAACAAGCTAGGACTAGAGTTTAGAACTTTCCGCCCCATCCCCACTCCCTGGAGAGTGGAGCGGGGCTACAAATGGAGTTAATAATCCTCATGCCTACGGAAGAGGCCTCCATAAGATCCCAGCAGTATGGGGTTCGGAGAGCTTCCAGGTTGGTAAACTCATCCACATGCTGAGAGCAACACGCTCCAGCTCCAGGGGGACAGAAGTTCCTGTGCTGGGGACCCTCCCTGACTTCACCCACAGTATCTCTTCATCTGTCTTTTCATCCGTATCTTTCATCCTATCACTTAATAAACTGGTAAATGTGTGACCTGAGTTTCCTGAGCAACTGGAGCAAATTAATCAGGCCCCGAGGACGGGAACACGGAGGTTCCTATTTGTAGTCAAGTCTCACGGAAGATGCGGGTCGCCTGGGGACCTACTATCTCTGATTGGCATCTGAAGTGGGGGGCAGTCCGTTGGGACTGGGCCCTTAATTTGTGGGATCTGATGCTATTTTCAGGTAGATTTTGTCAGAATTGAATTAAATGGTAGGACACCCAGCTGGTGTCAGAGAATTGTTTGGCCCCCACTCACATCGTCCGACATGAAGCACTCTGGGTGAGCAGTGAAGGCGACACAGGGAGGGAAAGACCGGTTTCCCCGAACAATGCGGTGAGCTCAGAGGACCCAGAGGAGGTTAGTCTACTCTGCATCTCCACACAAGGAACTCTCTTGCGCTCCCAGACTTACTTTTTAAGTTTCAGCTACGAGCAGAGATTGAGGAGTGTCTTCCTATCTCCGCTGCAGAGTTTTAGGGAAGAGAAATGAATTGGCCCTGCCTGAGTCAAATGTCCTTCCTCTCTGGTCCGGTCCCGGTGACCAATGCTGGTCGCAGATCCGTACATACCCGTCGAAGGCCCGAGGTGGGGTGGTGGGTAGGAGCTGTTCTCGGAGAAACAGGGATGTGTGCTGGGCTGAAAGGACACCCGGCCCTTGTCTTTCTGCAGCGCCCAAACCTGAATCGGTCCTACGCCCTGCTTCTATGTTCTTTACCTGAGCAGCAAAGAGCTGCTGGAGAAAAAAAGCCACACAAACATTTGTAGTAATTTTAATCGAAACATCCAAATTAGAAAAGATCCTTTAAACTTCATGATGGGGAGGGAGGGACAGTACTAGGTGGGGGTAGCATTGCCAAAAAGACTGATTCGCTGACCCCAAAGGGGCATGATCTCGGTGAAAACACCACAGTCCAGGGGCAGACTCTGGTTTTTTGCCAGCTTAGAAACATGAGCTTGTCAATATCTCAGAACTCATGTGATTTGTAGGTACTGATTCACAGTAATGAGCTTTGCAAGCCACCGATGTACAACTCCTCAATAAGAATTTATTAATTTACAAAAAATACTCATATCCGTCCTCCTCAGATCTGTTCTGCAAACACCTTTTTTGAATCCCATCTCAAAGCTATACCCCATGCTGGGTGCTGGGGACACACAGATAAATAAGATACAGGCTTTGTTCTCTAAGAGCTTCCTAACTGATGTATGCTGGGTATGGGCAGACCTCTGACAAAGTCCTCTGACAAAGTGCACAAGGCCCTTCCTCATCCAGTACTCCTGGTTTACAACTTCAACCTCCAGCGGTTCTTGCCAGAGTCCGCCCACCTGCCTGGCCTGTTCGTCAGCCTCCGTGTCCCTTCCTCCTCGCAGCTGTGGAAAACTTTTCATCTTTCAAAACCCACTTTGCATGTCATCTTCTCTAAGAGCTTTCCCAGAACCTCCCACAGGGGATGAATCCCCCGATTTCTGAGGCCTGAATTTTGGGCCAACATCTACAGAAATACTTCGTTGTTCTCTTCCTAGTACAGCATGATGTCAGAGACCATGTTAATTCACCTCCTCATCCTTAGGGCCTAGCACAGGAGAGATATTCCCAAAACGTGTTGAATGAATAATCAGAAACTGGCAGGCATATTTCACCAGGGCCCAATGTACAACCAGTTTAACGGAGAGAGCCTGGGGCTTGTGACTAAATCCCTGCTGAGAGTCATCAAGTCACCTACCCTGGTGCTCAGTACCAGGCCTGGGTTTCTACCAGAGCACGACCTGATAAATAGAGACCACCTTGCTAAGGGCTTACCTAGAGAGCTGAGAATGGCGAGCGAACACCCAGACATAGAGCAGGAGGGTAGGACTTGGAGGAGAAATGGGGTTCACTGTCAAGGCCACGAAGAAAGAGCAGAGAGGCTGGCACCGGCTCCCTGGCTCAGTCCCAGGCAGGCAGAGGGGGAAGACTCATTCATCCAGGGCCAGCCCAGGAGTGAGACTGCGGAGCTGCTGGCAGCGGCCCAGGCTCAGGCTCAAGGCTGGGAGGGGATTTCCTCAGGCTCCCTCCCCCAAGGCAGGGTGGCTGGGAACCTGCCAGACAAATTTAGTTCGAGGAGGGGCCAAGGATCACCCAGAAACAGGGCAAGAACTTCAGGGCAGCAGAGGCACCCCCTCGGCCAGGGACGTAACACAGAAAGCAGCCTGCCCTGCCTGGGACCCTCCCGCGGGAAGGAGGTAAGCGGCGGGTGCTGGGAGCCGGGGGAGGGAGTCCCTCCGTGTGGCCAGCGGGGCTGAGGGCAGGAAACGAGAGTGGGGGCAGTGAGAAGGAGGAGAACATACCTTGTTCCCTTAGCAACCTCCCTTCCGGGGTAGCCTTTTGGAGTGGCCCCTTGGGATTTTGCAACTTTCTTTTCAAAGTTGGCAGTATGTTTGACCAGGAGTCAGGAGGCTGTTTCTTGGCTTCTTCCCGAGGGGCATGGTCGGGGTGTCAGGTAGTGCTATTCCCTTTCTGTGCCCGGGTCAACCACCCGCCTTCTCTCCCCCTTTATCACATTCCCCCAGTAACATCTCCACCCTCCCTCCTGCCTCCCAGCGGCCCCCGTCCCCTGCCCCCTGCAGCTGAGCCAGTTCCTAGCCCTCTTGTGCTGCCTGCCCTCTGCCCCTCCTCTGGGCACTGCAGACCACTGGGAGACGGTCTCGGGCTTCTTCCTGCAAGGCGCCTCCCTCAGGGTTACTTGTTTCCTCCTTCCTGGTATGGGGTATCCGAGGGATTTCAGTCATCCATATTTTTTATTATTCATTTGTTTATTCATCACTGTTTGAATATGTATCTGGATTCTCTGGGGCGGAAAAACACACACAATTTCTGCTCTTCTGGGGAATAAGAAAATGGAAATGTATTTCACAAACATTTAATGATCATTTATAAGCTGGTAGTAGACAGTGTGGCAGAGAGGAAAATTACTTTGGAATCATAGAGACAGTTGGTTTCACGTCCCACTCCTGTTCTCTTCCTGAGCCTCAGTTTCCTCGTTTGTAAAATGGTATTGTAATGAAGGTGATAGGAGATAATGCACGTGAAGCACCGACTCTGGCACCAGGCACACCTTGGAAGCCTCAGTAAACTTCTGGGCTCTTCCCTTCTTCTTTGGGCCCTTTCCTGTCACATCCCCCACACCCCATCTCTAGGCTTGTAAAGATATGTAAGACAACCTCTGGCCTTGAAAGCACTGGAAAGTAAACGCGGAACTGGGCAGTGAAGAGACGGAGGCCAAGAAGGGGTGGGGGTTGGGCTCAATAGGGAAGGTGTCTCCAGAGGGTCTGAAGTGAGAGCACTGGACCAGGGATGGGACCCGGGCCACAGGGGGATGTTATCCCCAGCAGGCTCTTCTGCTGTGTTTCCGAATCTGTGCGCTCACACTGAGCAAGTAGTAAGAACTACCAGTTCCTAAACCCACTCTGCTTTTAAATGCATTATCGCATGTAATCATAACCCTGTTATGATATCATTAAAATGAAAGTGCAAACAGACTAAAGGATTTGCCTAAGGTCACATGGCTAGTAAGTTTCCCTGTATCAGAAAGAACGAAAGGACAGCATCTTTCCCAGCTTCCCTGACACCGGACTTCCTGTACCTCCCCTGCTCTGGGCTGCCCCATCCGGGTGGGGAGGAGCACACTCCTTCCCTGCTGCACTAACTCATTCATTCATTCACACATCATTCATTCTATCAAGTGCACTTTGGGTCCCAGGAGGGCACGGACAGTGTCTGTTGGTTCAGTTGTATAACTAGCTATCTGTATTGATGAATCAAGTTTAATGAAATTTTTGTAACATTTTTTAAAATTGATTATGCCGTTACATTTGTTCTATTCCCCCCCAATTACCCTCCACCCTGCACACCCCTCCCCCACCATTCCCCCCCCTTTAGTTCATGAACATGTGTCTCAAGTTCTTTAGATTCTGTATTTCCCCTACTATTCTTACCCTCCCCCTACCTATTTTCTTTTCTTTTTAAAAATTATTTATTTATTTATTTATCTTTAGAGGGGAAGGGAAGGAGAGAGGGAGAGAAACATCAATGTACGGTTGCCTTTTGTGCGTCCCCTGCTGAGAACTGGCCTGCAGGGAACTGGTCTGCAACCCAGGCATGTGCCCTGACTGGGAATCGAACCGGGATTGTCTGGTTCACAGGCCCGTGCTCAATCCACTGAGCTACACCAGCCAGGGCCCTATTTTCTATCTACTGTCTATGCTACTTATTTTTTGTACCTTCTCCCCCCTTCTCCTTCTCCCACTCCCCTGTTGCTAATCCTCCACGTGATCTTCATTTCTATGGTTCACTCCTGATCTAGCTGTACTCTTAATTTGCTTTTGTTTTAGGTGTGGTTGTTAATAACTGTGAGTTTGCTGTCCTTTCACTGTTCATCTTTTTTATCTTCTTTTTCTTAGGTAAGTCCCTTTAACATTTCATATAATAAGGGCTTGGTGATGATGAACTCCTTGAATTTGATCTTATCTGAGAAGCATTTTATCTGTCCTTCCATTCTAAATGAAAGTTTTGCTGGATAGAGCAATCTTGGTTGTAGGTCTTTGGTTTTCATGACTTGGAATACCTCTTTCCAGCCCCTTCTTGCCTGTAAGGTCTCTTTTGAGAAACCCACTGACAGTCTGATGGGAACTCCTTTGTAGGTGACTGTCCCCTTATCGCTTGCTGCTTCTAGGATTCTCTCCTTCATTTTAATCTTGGCTAATGTAATGATAATGCGCCTTGGTGTGTTCCTTCTTGGGTCCAACTTCTTTGGGACTCTCTGAGCTTCCTGGATTTCCTGGAAGTCTATTTCCTTTGCCAGAATGGGGAAGTTCTCTTTTATTATTTGTTCAAATAAGATTTCCACTTGTGACTGTTCCTCTTCCCCTTCTGGTACCCCTATAATTCAAATGTTGGAACATTTAAAGATGTCCTGGAGGTTCCTAAGCCTCTCCTCATTTTTTTTGAATTCTTGTTTCTTCATTGTTTTCTGTTTGGTCATTTTTTCCTTCCTTCTGGTCTACTCCCTTGATTTGAGTCCCAGTTTCCTTTCCATTACTATTGGTTTCCTGTGCATTACCATTCATTTCAATTAGTTTAACCTTCATATGTTCCTCTAATTTGTGACTAAAATCAACCAGTTCTGTGAGCATCCTGATTACCAGTGTTTTGAACTGTGCATCCGAAAGTTTGGCTATTTCTTCATCGCTTAGATTTATTGGCTCTGGGGCTCTGAGTTGTTCTTGAGCCATGTTTTGGTCTGTTTGTGTCTGTTAGGTATGAGGAGCGGAACCTTAGTTGTTTACCAGGGCGGGCCACCCAGGTCGCTGGTTTGTGACGCTGTATGTGGGGCGGGGTCAGAGAGGGAGCAATGGCGGTCCTCTCTGTTCGCCTAGTCTGATCCACTGCTCGCCCCCGCCTGTTTATCTGAGTGGAAATGTGCAAGCCTGCTGCCCTGTGCCGTGGGGTCTCAATGCTCGCCTCTTCAGTGGTGTATCTGCACGCAAGTGCTCGACCAACCGCAGACAGCCAGCTGCGCCTCTTCTCTGTGTCCGCCCGTAGCTAGCCCGCACCTGGAATCCGCACCTTTGGCTGCTTACGTACCACCGCTGTCGGGGATCATTTTGGCCAACCCACTCCGCTGCTGGCTTCACCCCTCTTACCGGTTTAGCTGAGCAGTTTGTTGTTTTCGGACTCCGTATTGTCGATTTTCAGTGTGGTTTGGTTGCGTTTATTGTTGTTAAAACTTTGTTGTTTTTAGATTTGGTTGTGCGTGGACGCAAGGTGTTTCCACCTATGCCTCCATCTTGGCGGAAGTCTGTTAGTTTATTGAAATTTTTGATGAATCCTTGAAACAGAAATTTTTGATGAATCCTTGAGTAAATGAGTCTGGAAAGCATTTTTTTTTAAACAGGGAGAGAAACATCAATGTGTGGTTGCCTCTCATGCATCCCCTACTGGGAACCTGGCCTGCAACCTAGGCATGTGCCCTGACTGGGAATCGAACCAGCAGCCCTTTAGTTCACAGGCCTGTGCTCAATCCACTGAGCTATACCAGCCAGGGCACATTTTTTAAAAAATTGTATTTTTTTGATGATGCTATTACAGTTGTCCCAATTTCCTTCCTTTGCCTGCCTCCACCGAGCTCACCCCCCACTCTCAGGCAGTCCCCATAAGTTGTTCACGTCCATGGGTCATGCATACACGTTCTTTGGCTACTCTATTTCCTATGCTGTAGTTTACATGTCCATGACTGTTCTGTAACTACCAACTTGTACTTCTTAGTCCCTTCATCTTTTTTCCTTCTCCCCCTGACCACCCTCCCATCTGGCAACCATCAAACCTTGTCTGTGTCTATGATTCTGTTTCTGTTCTGCATGGTTGTTTGTGGGTTGTTTTTAAATTTTAGATTCAGTTGTTGATGGATACATATTTATTGCCTTTTATTGTTCATATTTTTTAAAGGACTTTATTTTTTTAAGATTTTATTTATTTATTTTTAGAGAGTGGGGAAGGGAGGGAGAAAGAGAGAGAAACATGAATGTGTGGTTGCCTCTCATGTGGCCCCAACTGGGGACCTGGCCCGCAACCCAGGCATGTGACCTGACTGGGAATCGAACCAGTAACTCTTTGGTTCTCAGCTCATGCTCAATCCACTGAGCCACACCAGCTGGGGCTATTGTCCATATTTTTTTTCTTTTTTCTTTTTCCTTTTTCCTTCTTCCTCCTCCTCCTCCTCCTTTTTTTCTTAATCCTTTAACATTTCTTATAATACTGGTTTGGTGGTGATGAACTCCTTTAGGTTTTTCTGGTCTAGGAAGCTCCTATCTGTCCTTTGATTCTAAATGATAGCTATCCAGAGAGAATCTTGGTTGTAGGTCCTTGCTTTTCATCACTTTGAATATTTCTTGCCAATCCCTTCTAGCCCGAAAACTTTCTTTTGAGAAATCAGCTGACAATTTTGTGGGAACTCCCTTGTAGGTAACTGCTTTTCTCTTGCTGCTTTTAAGATACTTTCTTTGCCCTGGCTGGTGTGGCTCAGTTGATTAAGTGCCAGCCTGTGAACCAAAAGATTGCTGGTTTGATTCCCAGTCAGGGCACACACTTGGGTTGTATGCCAGGTCCCCAGTTGGGGACCTGGGAGAGCAACCAATCGATGTATCTCTTGCACATTGATGTTTCTCCCTCCTTTCTCCTCTCTCTA